ACTCTCTCTCTCTCTCTCTCTCTCTCTCATATATGAGGGAGAGAAAGAGAGAGAAAGAGTGAGAGTTTTGTGAGCTGAGAAAATAAATGTTGCCGGAGATCGTAGGTCGAGGATGAAATTAGTTTTCGATGTTAACAAAACTTCATGTTGCCCGATCAACCAGGCAATAATTGGCTTGTTATGTGTGAAAACAAAAATAAATAATGATATTACTGGGACTAACAATGGGCTGTGGACACGCCACGAGACCAAGAAGTTGAACTAGTGATGTCACGATTATCGATTATACTCGATCATCGGTTGAACAGTGGCTCGAACCAAGCGCTTGGTTATCAAAATCCATAATCGATTTCATCGGGGAAAAAAATCGAAATAAATGTAAAACTTGAACAAGAAAACTTGGAAAAGTGATGAGAATTAGAGATATCATCGCTACTATACAAGTTATCCTTTATTAACATACATGTATTATACACACAGTAGTAATCTGTGCAAAACAAACAGTAAACAGGGCTAAACAAGCACATACATGCACACACGTACATGCACACACGTACATGCACACGACGTTACGCACACGCAGGCATTCAACACCCCGAGTAACCGATTGTAACCGATCATCGGTTACTTGGGTCCAACCGATAATCGATTACGAAATTACAACCGATTGACAACAAGAATGACGATTGACGATTGACAATAACGATGACAATGACAATGACGATGACGATGAAAATGACGATGATGATGCCAATGACGATGACAATTGACAACCAAGAACACATACTACTACTAGTCTTAGTTTACCTATGACTCAAAAAGCATAAACCTAAAAATTACCTTAATCATTTATTAAGGCTCGTTCTTAATCGCATTTTTCCCCACATATAATAACAATCCAGAGCGGTAGACTATAATCATGCAGACAGCCATTGCACATGGAAACTCTTAAAGAGATCGCATCGACGTTTCTCGTAGACATTGATGAGATTTGTCACTTCTCATGAGAATCTCTCGTGTCACTTTCACAGGCGTTTTTCATCACATTACGGGCGCGTTGCTATTAATGCATTTCACCTGATCTATTATACAACGTAATCAATTAGGAGATGATATATAGAATTACGGGTTATTATATATTGCCCGTGTCCACTGGTTCAACATTTATTTTGAATAATGGCATTGTGGAGGCAATGGTGAAGAGATACAGTGTTCATGTTATGTGGCGGCACCACCCAGCGGCCAACATTGATTTGTATTGCATGGCACGTGAGATTCTGTACACCAGTTACAATGCAGTACAATTCGGAGCCATATAATAAATAAATAAATTAATTAATTAAAAAAATAAATATATTTACAATATTGTTCGAGTTATGTACGTTATAACACCAGACAGCTGCACTGTCTCTAGGACTATAATTATTGCAATAGAACATAATCCATCATCAGTTTGATCAGTGACTCGATCGTCTGCTACCAGAGTTCTCCTCCCTAGCGATCGCCGCGCCACCTAGCGGTGCAATCACGCCCACTCCAGCCCAGCTAATAAGATATCACTGAAGCCAAACCCAAACAGATCGCACTGAATGACGTCACGAGGCAGCAGCGGTCAGCACACGGCCTCCGTGCTTTAATTAGGTTGCACGTTAATTGGAATCTTCACGCGGGCAGTTGTTAGTCTTTACGTGTGGGATTCGACACGGCCTGCACGCAGACCGGTTACGTCACGCGTGCACTCCAGGCGCCATCTATTAAGACGCGCGTGGCCATGGGCGTGATTGATTATCTGTAGTACATTACGTGATTGGCTTCACCTCAACTTCCTCCATGTTAGTATCGTAGGTTAGCCCACGAGCGCAGGTAGTGCGGCTCTCATGACCTCCTCCACGCACACACACGCACACACACACACACACACACACACACACACACAC